CGCGTATCTGTTAAAGTTGCCTGTATGGGGAGGGGGTGTGTGGGCTCCTCTGTCTGACTGTCCTGTTTGGCTTTCTGTGTGGTCCCTCTCCTATGCCTCTCAAAAAGCCCACTTTACTCAGAGGGCACATTGCCCCAGAGTCAACAGGGACTTCCTTCCAAGGGAAACGTGTTTTCAGGCTGGCTGGCTTGCTTGATTCGTTTATTTATTTGATTTATAGACAGCCCTCCCCCTTGTGTAGGGTTTATTTATTTATTATTTATTCATCTGATTTGTATCCCGCCCTCCCTGCCGAGGCAGGCTCAGGGCAGCTTACACACAATATGTTAAAACAACTAAAAACACAGAATTAAACAAAAGCACAACAATATAATAATAAAACAAAACATATCTTAAAGTGCTACTACTTTCATAGATGATGGCGGTATTCACAGGTTCAGGGCAGTGAACAACATATTCAATAAATACAGGTACAAATTGGATTAAAACAGTTAAAACAATAACAAATCCTATGGCTGTACACAGGTTTGAACTTGGTTTGTCTTGGGGGGGGGGATACCGCTGGACTCTAGCTTCATTCTCGCATCTTTTTGTTAACTCTTGCATTTGCTGCTATCCGTTGATCTTACCAGCCACTTGATCCAATTTCAGCTCTGCATATGCATCTTGGCTCTGAGTGGCCACCCCCCACTTTTCCCCCCTTTTGAGGAGATCTTATTCTATTTGCCTGAAGGAGTGTGCTTTGCACGCGAAAGCTTACACTTTGAATAAAATTTTGTTGGTCTTAAAGGTGCCACTGGACTTAAACTTTGTTCTGCTGCTTCAGACCAACACGGCTACCTGCCGAAATCCTGTGACTATATTCTATGTTACTGTATGCTTCTGTATCTGAAGAAGTGAGCAGTGACTCACGAAAGCTCCTCCCCTGCCACATATTTTGTTAGCTTTGAGGTGATCTTATTCTATTTGCCTGAAGGAGTGTGGTTTGCACACGAAAGCTTACACTTTGAATAAAATTTTGTTGGTCTTAAAGGTGCCACTGGACTCAAACTTTGTTCTGCTACTTCATACCAACACGGCTACCTGCCGAAATCCTATGACTATATTATATGTTACTGTATGCTTCTGTATCTGAAAAAGTGAGCAGTGACTCACGAAAGCTCCTCCCCTGCCACATATTTTGTTAGTCTTTAAGGTGCTCCCGGACTCTTCCTCTTCTACTGCTACAGACAGACTAATACACCTACACATCTTGATCTAACTTCTGTGACTATTACAGATGGCGCTTAAATGAGCAATTTATGTCCTGACCAATACTCCCTCTAAGCTGTGGAATCTTGTGAGCAAAAATTCTACTTTGTGAGCTACTGGCATTAACGTTGTGAGTGAGCGATTTGGCTACTGCATAAGTTAGTTTGCTCTGGAGCCCTCCTTCCTGAACTGAGACAAAAATGTGTGCGCCGGAGGCTAAAAAATGGTGAGCTGGCTCACACTGACTCAGCTTAGAGGGAATACTGGTCCTGACCCCGTGGCAAAGGAGGAGAGAAGGAAGAGGCCAGGCTCGGTGAAAACCTTTGCTGTCCTCAACCAGAGGCCTGGTGGAACATGTCTGTCAAGAAACTGCACTAGAAGAAGAGAAGAGATTGGATTTATACCCCGCCCTTCACTACCCAAAGGTGCCTCAGAGCGTTTTACAATCTCCTTTCCCTTCCCCTCCCCACAACAGACACCCTGTGAGGTAGGTGGGGCGGAGAGAGCTCTGACAGAAACTGCTCTTTTTCAAGAACAGCTCTTATCAGAGCTATGGCCCAAGGTCATCCAGCAGCTGTGAGTGGAGGAGTGGGGAATCAAACTCAGTTCTCCCAGATTAGAGTCTGCGTACTTAACCACTACACCAAACTGGCACTGGTTGTCTTTAGGCAGAGAGTTCTCCTAGACCGGCACCAGGGCGGAATTGGCCCTGGCTGTGGTCGAGGACAGCCGGATATCTTTTGGGCCAGGGATCACACACATTGGATAATGTACTTTCAATGTGCTTTAGCAACTGCCTGTAAGTGGATTTTCCCGTTTCACGCAGGAGAACGCACTTGCAAACGATTTTGATAGTGCATTATCCGATGAAGCTAGTTTCAGAGGGTAGTTGTGTCGGTCTACAGCAGAAGAGCTGGGCTCGAGTCCAGTAGCACCTTAGAGACCAATAAGATTTTTGGGGTAGGAGCTTTTGAGAGTCAAACCTCCCTTCCTCAGATATCCGGTGAAGGGAGCTTTGACTCTTGATCGTTGATGGTCTCTACTGGACCTGAATTTAGTTGCATTAGGGTGCTACTGGACTT